TCCACCAGCACTGATACCAGGATATTTACACTGCTTTCCCAGAAGACAAGGAGAGAGGTAAGACAGGAACATCTGAAAGGCATTAACAGCTTTGCCTCTGAAGGTTTTTAACACCTCTGCCAAACAGCAGCAGAACAACCACTCTGAACACAGGAGCAACTACCAGCAACTCAGAACCATTTCCACACAAGGCAACTCATCCAGCACCTGGGAACTCCAGCCTTGCCACCGATCCCTGAAGACTGCAGAGAGTGCAGAAGGTTTCTTGCTGTTGCCTCCGGCTGGGACTCTGCGAGCTGCTGAAGGGCCGACTGCAGGGCTCTGCGGGACGCTGCATCCCTGCAGTGACAAACGTGCCAGTGAGCATCACAAACCTGCCAACATCACACACAGGGCTCTGTGTGGAGATAGTAACTACTTTATCCTTTCTGTTCCAAAAACTGGAAAAGTTTCTGGCAGAAAGCTCCGTTCCCTTCCACAAGCGACAGCAGTTACGTGGAGGCTCTCCAGCATGTTGCAGAAGAAAACAGGTTCTGAACAGCTCCTCTGCAAGAGATCGTGATTTAATCCCATCTAGAAGTGTCTAAAAGGCATCTAAAAGACACCTCAGTCCTGTTTCACAAGGACATGGGTGTTCATTCTTGCAAACTGAACCACAGGACAAAAGTTTTAATTTCAAAATTAAAGGTAAAATGCAAGGCAAGTGTTGCAAAACTTTCTAATGTCAAACCTATCCTGAGAGCCTAATTACAAATGACACCCTTCAGTGTCACACACATCTCTGTGACATTGCATGCTAACATTTCCAGATGCTCCAGAACAGTCTAACTAACAAACATGTAAATACTGATAGATTAAATCATACAGCCTTTCCACATCAATTTACTCACCGGTATCGATGCAGAGTAAGGCAGAAGAGTTTGCAAAGGCCCTTCACTGCACCCTCTGGAAGATCTGTAACAATGTATTCCAAAATATTTCTTCATAAATTGATGAGCTCTTAATCTTTAACACAAACACAATTCACTCCACAACTGAAATCAGTAAACTGCTCACATCACATCTATGAAACTGCTTGCAAGTAAAAGTTTCCTCTTTTTGTACGTTTTATGCATATTTTTAAAAATAATGGCAAAAATTGGAACACATGGAACACAGCCATCTTCAGAAAATGAGAGAAATAAGAAAGTTTTAAAAATTTGCTTCAGCTGTTTTATTCAGACCACTTGAAATTTTCTACACTCCCCTCCATAGACGTGTATCTGAATATTCCATGAGAATTAAAAAAACAGGCTGAGTCAGGAGAGAAACAGGCAACTGAAACACTAATGAAGAACTAATACACACAGTGCTACAACTACTGACTGGAAAAAGCACATGTGCCCAAAAACAGGCTTCTGTGCTACCTACAAACTCCACACTTGGAATTAACGCTGTGACGGAGCACAGACTCCAAATGCTGCCAGCATCCCCCCTCTCACAAAAACACCCCTCACACAGCCCTTGAAACAAAAGATTTTAATATTCTCCTCCACCCTGGTAAGCAGGACAATGTCCCCCAAGCTCTTACCTTTCCCAGAAATGCATTTTCCCAGCTCGCTGAGGATCTCTCTCCGTTCCTTCACGCTGGCTGTAGTTACTTTTACCGCGAAGCGCTTCAGTGTGTCAGAAATCTGAAACCACAAAGAGGAAACAACATCAGACCGCCTTTGATATCAACCCACAGAACACAAACCAGGCAAGCAGAACATGTCATCTGCTGCCACATGACCTCTCAGTGCCCAAATGTTGGACATCCATGGTCTCATCTGCCAGGGAAGGGTCACTGTGCACCACACCATGAAACTCTGTCTCCTTGGCTGAAGGATGACTGCTCTCTGTTTGCTAACCTGTCCCCCTGGCACAGTGCTCATGCTCTGTAAGAGACACCCCTCTAAAAGTAACACAGAGTAAGAGCTAACACCAATAACCTGGAGTGCAGGACCTTTGAAAGCAAAAAATAATGCACTTCAAGAACTCAAAGGAGCTTTTCCATGTACGTTATAGCCTAAAGCCCAGGCAGCCCTGAAGAGAGACTCCAAACTGCAGACAACCCAGGGTGACTGTAACTGCCCATCCTGAAAAACTGACCTGTGGTTCCAGGTGTCAGTAGTTGTGAAATTCTGTACTGGCATTTCCTGTTTCCCAAAATTAACAAGCACATTGCAAGGATTTTGTAAAATGGACTTGCCAGATTAGAAAAGGTTGTGCCTCGCTACCAAATTCCTCCGCGTGCCATCAGCCGTGTCCAAGGTTACCCAAGCAAAACAAAAATCACATCACACAACCCAAAGGTTTTTTTAATGCCTGTGTTAATGTGTGCTGGGATCTCCTGGAGGGATGGGACTGAAATCACTCACCTCTGCATTTACAGAAACCAAAACAGAGCTCTCCAGGAAGGGCTTCTGAAATCCCGCTCTTAAATTCAGCCAGTTTATATCTTAACAATAATCATCATCTTTTGGAAGGGCAGCAAATGAGCATGTCTTTAGAAACTCATCAAAACTGTTCCTTCTCCCTTCAGTCTTTTTCAAAGAGCTTCTCAGGAACTGCCTTCAGTGAAGCTTTTTGCTGACATGCTGGAAGGCAAATCCTGCTCAGCAACTACCTGGGATTTAGGGACCATCCACACCTCCCTGAGCCTGTGACCACTTCACACCCCCAGCTCTCCTTAAAACTGGTTGGAAGCAGGGCTGCACCCCTGAACAGCAAGGACTTGGTCGAGTTGTGGAGGACAACCAACAACCGACAGAACCAGAAGCCATTAAGGAACTGCTCTGCCTTCAAACCTTCCAATACAGGAGTTCATCATATGCAAACTCAAACCAAGCTCCACTTACTCAAGCTGCTTAATCACAAGCAGGCAGGCAGATGTACAAACAGGAAAAACGTGTTTAAATTCTCTCAACAGTCTAGAAACTGAAATTATAAATTATGCATAACACTACAGGACTTCCCCAGCATCTCAGTGACTTACAGAACCTGCACAAACCCCGACTCCCCAGTCTCCAGGCAAGAGCAGCTGGGACAGGCTACACCTATTTGCTTTTTCCTTTTATTGGGACGTTTATGTACACACGCATACAAAGCCAGCCTACAAGCAACGCTGCTGCAGGCAAACAGAGAGAACAAAAAGGTAATATAACAAAACAAGTTTGGAAGACCTAAGTTGAGAAGACCGGAGTTTGCCTTGGGAACACCTCAAGCCCATCAGGGTTAAACAGGCGGTCCCGGGCACGGGAAGCGGGCACACCGGGCTCCCCCGGCGGGGCGGTGTGAACCGGGGGAGAACGGCGGGCCCGCCGAGCCCATCGAGCCCGGCAGCCGCACAGGGGTCGCAGCCGGGCGTTGACCGGGACGGCAACCGCCGCCCCCCGCTCCTCTCCGGCCCGGCCCCGCGGCAGCGCCGGCGGCGGGCGGGCCCTTCCCGCGGGCCGGGCACAGCGCGGTGCGGGCCCGCCCCGAGCCGGCGGACACGGCCCCGGACGGCCGCGGGCACCGAGCCGGGCCCCGCCGCCGGGCCGGGGGCGCAGCGGGGCGGGAGCGGCCCCGAGCGGAGCCCCCGCAGCCCTGCCCTGCCCTGTCCGGCCGGGCCGGCGCGGCCCGTCCCGCACTCACCTGCGTGTCGGCCGCCATCGCTCCGCCGCGACCCCGGAACCGGTAGCGGCTTCCGGGGCGGGCCCGGCGATGGGCGATGGGCGCTGCCCGCCCGTCCTGGGGAGCCGCGGCTGCTCCGCACGGCGGGACCGACCTCGAGCGCGGGGGAACAGGCACGGACGGGCGGCGGCTGCAGCGCCCAGATCAGCTGCGGGCGAGGCCTCTGCTCAGCTCGGCCGGGAAGGGCTGAGCTGCCGGCGGGTGTAGAGCAGCGGCACCGAGAACAACCCTCCCCTGCAGCACACCGGGAGGAGGAACAAATGCTCGCCGACAGCACACGGGGCTCCAGGAACAACTGCTCCCCTGCAGCTCCTCGGCCCGAGGAACAACCGCTGCAGCACCCGGGCCCCCTCGGGTTACACTTTTCCCAAGCCCCAGGTGACGTGGAGACTACACTACGGATGCAGGCACATGTGAAGGTGTAAAATAGCTTTTTATTTCTTCCATTGGGCCAACTGTGACACAAACAGACAGGTGGTGGCTGCTGTTAGTCAAAGAGACCGAATCCCATGTCCTCATCAGACTCCTCCGACTCCTCCTTCGCCGCCTCCTTTGCTGGAGCAGCAGCAGCAGCAGCAGCAGGTGCAGCTGCTTCAGTGACCACAGGCATGGCTGCCACAAAGGCAGAGGGGTCTGCCAGGAAGGCCTTCACCTGCAAAGGAGCCGGAAAAAAAGGTAAACTCACAGGAAACAAAACACTTTGAAGGGCTGAACCTTTGCAATTGCAAAGGCAGCACTTGCAGCTTGCTAGAAGCCAAATGTGCATTTATCACTGCCAGTTATGAAGAACCAAAGGCACTTCAGCTACACCGAAGCCATTACCTTTTCAGCCAGTGGGAAGGTGTAGTCGGTCTCCACGGCCACGGCCAGGACACGCTTGTACCCGTTGATGATGGAGTGGGGCACAGAAGCAATGGTTGGGTACCCAATTTGCAGACAGATGCTGGCAACATTACGAACACCCTGTGGAGAGAGAGAGAGACTCATGTTTCTGTGCTCTGAGGAATAACCTGGACTAGAAACCGCAGCAGAGGATGGCCAAGTGATGACTTCTACACTGCCAACAGGAGGGACAATCAAGGCAACAAGATTTAAATGTCACTGATGTCTGCTCTCTGGTGATCAGTGACAGAACCTGAGAGAATGACAAGGAGCAGTGTCAGGGGAGGTTTAAGTCCGATACTAAGAAAAGATTCTCCCCAGAGAGGGTGGTTGGGCACTGAACAGGCTCCCCAGGGACGGGGTCACAGCCCCAAACCTGCCAGAGCTCAAGGAGCATTTGGACAATGCTCTCAAGCACAAGATGGTATTGCTGGGGTGTCCTGTGCTGGGCCAGGAGTTGGACTTAACGATTCTTGTGGGTTTCCTTCCAACTCAGGATTTCCTAAGATTCCAAACAGCCTCACTTTTTGAAGCAGCTTCAGATGAACAATCCCACATACAGGGCACCAGGGAGAGCTCCTGGCTCTGCAGGACCTCACAGAAAATACCACACAGGGCCTTTCACTCTGGGGCAGTGCTGGCTCCCACAGCAGCAGGGCAGAGCACAAGGGAGTGAGTTGTGGTGCTCACCTCCAGGAAGCGCTTGTGCAAGGTCTCCTCAGTGATGTCCAGCACTTCAGGGTTGTAAATGCTGCCATTGTCAAAGACCTGCTGGATCACCAACCCGAAGGAGAACGGGGAGATATTCAGCATGTTGAGCAGGGTGGCTTCGCTGGCACCCACTTTGTCTCCAGTCTTGATGAGCTGCACGTCGCTCTGAGGAGATCGGAGGGAAAAGCAGTGAATACACACAGAGAATTCCAGCACATGAGTTCAAGGGGACACAAACACAAATGGTGAAAATGGAGCAAATGAGCCCAACACGTACACTCCACGTTCATTCCACAAGCCAAGCCAGACACCCTCCTTCCAGTCCCCAAAGTGCAGCAGTCACACTGCTCATACAGTATCTAAGAATTAATGGGAGCTTTGGCCTTCAGAGTTCCCTGAGCTGCCACAGTCTGAGCCCCCAGTGAAGGAACAGCTTTGACAAAGGCAGCACGCAGCTCACTGACCAGAATTTCAATGGTTCCTCTGGAAATCTTCGTGGTGATGCCCAAGGCCTGGAAAAAGGAGGTCTTCTCTGGCCCAAGGCCCGTGTTCTGGGCTGGCACAGTCACATCACAAGGAGCAATAGCACCGGCACGGGCAGCAGCTGGCACCTGAGAGAGGGGAGAAGAGAAGCTGCAAGAATGCTCACCTCAGATCTTGTGGGATCATCTCCTTGCTGACACATTCCTCCCGGATGGACAGCACCCAAGCACACACCAGTGACACAGCTGAACTCAAGCAGTTTGTGTAAGGCTGCAGGGGCCAATTCCCAGCCTTTCAGGACTCCTACTAATGACGTATCCTCCGTGAAGACTCAGTTTTATTTTTCATTCCATAATAACAGCCCAGAGATGTGGTGAGGGCTGGTCTCCCTACCTTGTTAGCCAGCAGCATGTCCCGGATCTCGGTCAGATCCTCCTTGGTGAAGACAAAGCCCACATTCCCACGGATGTGAGGCAGCAGCCTGAAGGGAAGACGACAGCCTTCAGTTCTGTTTCTCAGACAACATCCCCTCCTCCCAGACAGAGCACCCAGAAGTGCCCTCAGGCAGCAGTACCCACTTTTCAAGGGCAGGGTTGTTCTCCAGATGACCACGAATAGCTTTGCGCATCATCGTGTTCTTCCCCATCAGCACAACAGCCTTCCCACGCAGGGACATGCGGATCTGCTGCATCTGCTTGGATCCCACGTTGTCTGCTCCCACAATGAAACATTTTGGGTAATCATCCAGGAGTTGCTGTAACAAAAAGAACACTGTAAGTATACAAAGACAGCCAGACAGAGCAGAGTGCTCAGAGCACAGAGCAGCATTAAAACCTCCACACGTTAAAACGTACAAAAAGGCTGTCAGAAGTTTCAGAGTGCTGAGCTCCAGCTGAGGCTGAGCGTGCCACAGGCTGCACGTTTCACTCAGCCATCGAGTCACATCCCTGAACATGTCACCTCTGCAACTACCGCAGCAGATTCTCACAGGAAAAACTGTGGATTGTCTTAATATCTTTCTAATGCCACGTAATCCTTCCTTAAGCAGATACACCACAGCACTTATCTCTTTACACAAGCCCCCGCAGCACGGCCCGCCCGCCTCCCGCTGCCCCGCGCCGACACTCACGATGATTTTCATAAAATAGTTGGACTTCCACGTAGCCCTGTCTTCCCTGGGCATCTCGGCGGTGCTCCAAGGATCGCCCGGTGGGTTTAAAGACGAGCTGGGACCTGCCAGAGAGAAGCACGGTCAGGTGGGTCCGCACCCTTCCCTCTCCTTTCCTCCTCCCCCCAGTCCGGCCGCGGCCCAGGAACCCGAGTACACTCCGGGTACACCCGGGGTACGCTCCGGGTCCGCTCCCCCCCGTCCCGGCCGCCCAGCCCCGCCCGTGCCCCGGAGCCGCCGCGCCGCGCCCGCACCTCCACGAGGGCTCCGGGAAAGAAGGGCCGGAGGGCGGGCCCGCCTTCCTTTATACCGCGGCTCAAGTCCAATCACAGCGAGCTGCGGCGCTCCCTCCGCCCATTGGCTGCCCGCCGCGTCAATCACCCGAGAGGCGCGTGACGCCAGCGGAAAGGGCGCGGCAGCCGCGCGCGGCTGGGCGGCGGCGCCCCCTGGCGGCGGGAGGAGCGCACCGCCCCCCCCTCAGCCCGGCTCTGAGGGGGAACCGCTCCGGGTCTGATCCCTCCCCAGCTCAGGGGCTGGAAACAATCGCGACACAGTCGTGAGAATAACGGTAAAAACTTTATTGGCGTAACTGCAAGAATTTTAAATGGAAAAAAAAAGCGGAGTTAGAAGTTTACATGGGAGGGGGAAAAAAATCAAATAATAATTGTCGACCCAGCCAAGCTTCCCCCAGCCCAGCCCGGACGTGGCGAGAAAGACCTTCCCCAGGGGTAGCGCCCGGTCCGGGGGTGCACACACAGACCCTCCCGGAGCACCTGCCACAGCCCCTGCCAGCTCCTCTCCAGGGCCGGGGACCCCCCAGCACCATCCCCAGCCCCACACCCGGCTGTGCCACCCTAGAACTGCACCTGCAATGAACTACACAGGCATTTGGGACACCACAAGTCGTTATTTGGCAGAGTAGCATTGGTGCAGCATCCCAGCGTGTCAGGCACCAGGTGAAGGCAGGAGGTAAATGTGTAATGATCTCAGTTAAGCACTAAGGACACCGAGCCTCCCCTCGGCCCCCAGCAGCCCTCACAGCACCCAGGGCCTTCCACGTGTGCCAGGAGTGTCACTGACACAACCCTCAACTAGCAGTGAGTGAGGTAGGTTAAAGACTCCCCGCACAGGGAAACTGAGGCACGCGATTACACAGTTTGCAGATGTCATGCCATTTGCAGTGGCAGTGCCAGAAACATCTCACCCCTTTCTGACACTCGGACACAACAGCTGTGTGTCCTCTCAGCGGCACCAAGGATTGACCTTTTCAGTGAGATAAACACACACAGCTTAGGAACACCCATTGAAGTTAAATCGACTTCACAGATGAAAAGGCAAATGCATAAGGATTCTTGCCTCATGAACTCTCCCAGAGCTACACTCAGCCCAGCTGACACAGCTCCAGTGCTCCCACAGTTCCCTTCGGCCTCACACCCACACACTGAGTTCATTTGTAGGGGAAATGAGTGAAACAGTTTCAGTGACCCAAGCAGGGCAGGGCAGCACCGCGACAAGGTTGTGTGACAGGGACCTGCAGTTTCCAGCCCAAGGCTGGGCTGGTTTCTGACACAGCCACCCCTGGGCCCCTAATGCACCTGCCAAGCTGCAAAGCACACCCAGATGCCTCTGGTGACAGTGCTGTAGCACTCTGTAGCAGTAATTCCAAACACTGCTCCCTGGGCTGCCTCAGCTGGTACCACAGAACGGCACCGGGAATTTCAGTGCAGTCCTTCCCTCTCCATAGCACCCCCCATCCAGCCAGAGATCTAAAAGTGCTTTAGCAAACACGAGCTAAGCCTCACAATAACCTCACAAATCCAGGCTAAACTGCCCCCATTTTACAGATGGGGAAACTGAGGCACAGTAAGGTTTAGTGACTGGCCCAAAATTACACAGCTAGTCAGGAACAGTCTGTCTCTCCCACTTTCTCCTCCTCAGTCACAAGACCTTTTTTCTTCAATTTACCCTGCTCTGATTTCAGGTGGCTGAAGAGGAGAAACAGAGGGCAAAGGTCTGAGCTCCTCCCCCAAAGCATCACATTAAGACTTACTCAAACATCCTGGAAGCTGGGCTTTGGGAGAAAGGCAGGTGATTCAAATACAGCAGTTTACAGGTTACAATAAAACCAGAAAACACACTTTTAGGTGACCCAGAGGAGGGAAAAAAAAAAAAAAAGCTATTCACAGTTCACCTGCCTGTGCTAGGGAAAAAATACAAGTCACATTCCCTTCCCCATAGATTCCAGCCCCTCCCAACCCGCAATAAAAAGGAAATATTGAATGTTAGTTCGGCTTAACAAAGCATTGAGGTTATAGATGCAGTAAGCCAGCACAACTGGCACACTGCCTAGAACAGCACAGCTTGATATAAAAGTTGCTTTCTTAAAATCACTTCAAAACCAATTTCTGTATAAGAGGATTAAAAGTAAATTAGATATGAATTCAAAATCAGTGTAGAAATCTACAGTTCTTATCAAAGACTGGATACAGTATTCACTTTGATAGTAAAACTCCAGGTGTGTCACGCACACCTGACCCATGGGACTTGTTATACCAGTAACAGTCAATATAAAAGGTTATTGCTGTAGCATCTCTCAGTAGAACATGTTTAACAAGAGCACAGAAAATGGAAACACCAAGGGGCTGACAGGTCTCATTAGCAAAGAGGAAGAAAGGATATAAATTTAGGATTTTTTTTTTTTCTCCTGGCTTCTTAACCCTCTCCACTTCTCCCCACTCTTGTGACAGTTTCAGGCCCTGACAGATGGGAGATTTTCAGGCCAGATAAACACACACACATCACACTCATTCATAACAGGGATGGATGAAAAAGGCTGCTCTGACCTCCCTGCACCTGCATTTAAAGAAGGGATGATGCCTCTTCCTCTCTCCCAGGAGCAGCAGGCAAGGGGAGCAGATGCCCTGAGCTGGCCTGGATGGAGATGCCTGGCATAGGATGTTCCCACAAGGAGCACACATCAGTGCTGAGGGATGGTCAGGGCTTACCCCACCTTCTGCTCTGGTGTGCTGAGAAAAGGCATTGAGAAAGGGCATAACAAACTAGGGGGGGGAAACCCCACCCCACACATTAACATCTTGATTCCTCTTAATTAAAAAAAAAAAAAAAAAAAAAGTAAGTGGTATTATCTCCCTACAGTGTAATGGAACTGGAGAGACCCTTGCAGGGTCTTGGCTGCCTGTGCTGGTGCTCTGGTCTCAGCAAGTCACACACATGGTGTGGCTCTGTGAGGGGAGCCAGGGTGGCCCTGAGGTTACAGGGTGCCCTTGCTGGGCTGTTGCTCACCCTGCACACGTGCAGGCAAAAGCCTGAGAAGGAGGTGTCAAAGCAGAGGGCTGTGTTGTCTGCAAGTGTCTCGATTTGCTCAGGGAGCTGACACGGGCTGAAACGTACTGGCAAAGACTCCTGCTGCCAGGAGGGGGCTGGGAAGATCTCCCTGTTGGAGCCCTCGAGCTAAGCTCAGCTGTCAGTCACACACACAGACACACACACCGTCATGAGGGATCTCGGCCTCTCTCTACTGAGACACAGCAAGGGCGTTTCCAGTTTAATGGTCCGTCTCATCTCTGGATCTACTGCCTCTCCATAGCAGCAGAAAGCACTCCCCACCCCCCACCCCCCTCCTCCCCTGCCTGGTAAGGTTCCTAAATCACAGTAATGTTCAGAGAGCCAGAACTGCCGAGGGGGTGGCAGAAAGATGCTTTAGCGCCCATTGATGGTGCCTCTAACAGAAGAGCTTGAGGAAGCAGTTCTGGCAGTAGGGCTTGTCGTTCTGCTCTTTGAAGGTTCCTTTGTTGAGCTGCTTGAGGCAGAAGGCACAGACAAAGTGTTCAGGGTGAAATTTCTTGCCCATGGCAGTGATGCAGCGTCCTGTGATGGGCTTCTGGCACCCGGAGCAGAGGGAGCCGCGGCGCTCGTGGTAGTGCACCTCGCAGTAGGGCTGCCCGTCGTGCTCAAAGAAGCTGCCATTGATGAAGGGGGTGAAACATTCCTGCAGGAGGACAAAGCAGAGGGGACAGGTTGTGTGAGAAGCCAGGGATGTGGGGAGGGGCAGCTCCACAAGCCACCTCTGTGGCACAGCCTAGCTGTTCTGTGGGCAGGTGAACTGCTGCCCTTCACTACTGTCCCGTTGTCCAGAGCCAAACTGTCCACCAAGAAGAGTTTCCAAGAAAAGGCTGAGAGATGGACAGATACAGGCACAAGCAAAGGAATTAACCAGCTCCTTCCCCCAGCTAGCTTCACTTCTACAAAGAAAATACTATGGATGAGCTACCAGATGTGTCCAGCCAGGAGAAAGGAGAACACTCCTTCCTCTGAGGTGGGAAACACTGAAGCACCTTTCCCTGTTCGGTTTTTTCTCACTCCAGCTTCCCCACAAGGGCAGGCAGAAGGAGGGACCAACACAGACTTTCATGCAGCAGAATCCTGATGAATACTGGACTGGTTCCAGCTGAGAAAATGAGGCACAATTAATCTTCACAAGTGACCTCTCCACAATGGCTGGCATTAGGCTGGTACACTCTGCAAAGGATTGTCCAACCTGAAACATCTCCAGCAGTTACACACGGATCACTGCTGGGAGAAACTGTTTGTTCTACAGCGCTAATGATTTTGAACAGACAAGGAGAAGAGGATACACCAGCTACATGCTAATTAGTGTCCGGAGCTCCTCCTCCCCCTTGGTGTCAGGCAGCTACACTTTAGAACCTGCAACAGAAGCACCCACCACCCCCACCAGACTGGGGAGACCCCCCAGGGGTGGTCTTGTATGAGTGGGAAACTCCTTGTATGAGTGGGAAAATGAAGCAGCAGAGTGTGGGAGAGTCGAGGACGCTGCCAGATTTGCCAAATATATCAGCAGCAAGGCCCGGAGGAGGAGCCATGTTTGCAGAATCCTGGTTTTGCTGACCTCTTCCCCGGGGAGGACACTGACCTATCACACACAGCTGGACCCCAACATGTGGAAAGGGATACAGCAAACAGCAGGTAGAGTTGTTAAACACTCACAATACCAGGATGAATACAGTTTGCCTGCAGCGAGTCCAAGACTTTACTAATGCTGACAGTTCAATAAACAGTGTCTTCCCTCAGTCAGCAGGACAGCTGAAAAGTTTGCTCTGATTTAGCAAAAGCAGGAAGAGAATCACATCTTGTGTCCTGGAAGACATCCATGTTGGCCCCACTAATTCAGGCAGTGTGGCAGCAGGGGGAAAGGAAAGCAGAACTGCTTGATAAAGTCTCAATCTCTGCACAAGAAGGCACAGCCCTCCCCAGCCCCACAGAGTCAGGCACAGCTTCTGCCTCCACTCTCTGCACAGCACTGCAGGAGCCACAGCCAACAGCACGGTCACAGTCAGATCTGAGCATCACACCAGGAATCAGCAGCTTGTGGTTCTGGCTGCTTCATCTGGTTTCTGCTCTTCTCTCCCACTCTAGGAAGCACTGGTTGATTTGGCTCATCTCTTGGGGCCTTTAAGAGTTAATATTTGCAATGCTCTCTGAAAGAGTGCCAAGCATTTAATCTGCAGTATTCCTGTTTCTTATGCCTGTTGTATGGAGCCTGCCACTATTTCACTGACTTGCATGTTTGTCTGAACAAGGTCAGCCTCATTAGTTTACATTGTCAGATGGAGCATGGGAGGAAGATTCTCAAAATCTGAGTGCTGAGGCAAGTGCTCAGAGAGAAGCTTAGCTTATAATTATTTAAAGGTCACAGAAAATGTCTCTGTTTATCTGTGAGCTGCTGCAGAAGCCCATAATTGCAGTTGGGAACAGAAAGGCAGCTCGAAAGTTCAACATAAACAGGCAGAGGAACAAGAAGGTGTTTGGTTGCTGACATGTTTTTATCTTGTGGGACTGGCTGCCCTTCACTGCCCCAGAGACGCCTTTTCCCGATATGGGACCAGATGCCTGCAGGGTGGAAAAGAGGGGGGTCGTGCAAAGGACCTTGGGTTTCTTACCCGACAGACAAAGCACTCGGGGTGCCACAGGGTGTTCAAGGCAGAGATGTAGTTTTCCAGGATAGCCCGGGCACAGCCTCCACACTTGGGAGCAAACATGTCAAAGTAGTCCTTGCGGCAATAGGCTTTGCCATCCTTCTCATGAAATCCTGCCAAAGGAGAGGAGAGGCAAAGGGATCAGCTCCTGATCTTCACCTATGGCCAGACAAGTTGTGTGGGATAACCTGTGTGGGTGGGATCATCCCTCCCCCTGCTAACACACACAGCAGGGTCCTTGTTCTGTTCCCTTCCCATCCCAGCACATGCATACTCTTCCTCTCTGGGGAGAAGAGATGATTACTGGTAGCATTCTTCCCCCACAAACAGCTGTAGCCCTTGGAACTCCAGTAGTTCCCCTGTCCCCTCAGACTGTCCCCCAGCAGCAGCTCTGCCTTACACCCTTCTCTGTATTTTAGGGAGGAGATTGTTTTCTCCTTGCATAAACCAGCAGTACCTTCAGGTCCAAAGAAAGCTCCACACTGGGCACAGAAAAAGTGTTCAGGGTGCCATGTCCTGTCCAAAGCCGTCACCACTTTCTGTTCAGGAGAAGACACAAAGTGCAAGTCAATTAAATGATGGTTTCAACTTGGAGGTGACTAAGGGGGGGCTGGAGGGAGGGGAGAAGACATTAATGTTGGTGCTGACAAGAGCAAGCATTAAAATAGACTGTCCTTTAGAGAGCTGAGTCAATTCGCCCCTGCCTCTGGCTCGTTCAGGCTCTCCCCACTGCACACTTTTTTTACCCTAAAAGGATCTTAGGCACTGCCTCCTCCCTTACACAGGGCCCCGTCCAGCCCTCAGGACTAGCACTGGTGCCTGTTACCACAGGCTACCAACACACAAAAGCTGAGGAATCAGAATGATGGAGCAATGTGGGGTTCTGAAGGAACTTCACAAAAGGCAAGAGAGACTATCTCCTCTCACTGGTGTAAGAATTTGACTGGGCCAAGTTGTTTCCCTTTCAGAGCAAGGACAAAGGAAACATGGAAATCCCAAAACAAAATCTTCCACCCAGGACACATGGGTGGAATTTTTAACACCCAGGCCCTGCAGCACCTTGCCAGCACCCTGAATCCCCCAAGGAACTCACATCAAGGATGGGCCCGTTGCAGTAGTAGCAGCGAGGGGAGAAGAGGTTGTGGTAGTCCTTCTCGCAGTAGGGCTGCCCATCCCGCTCAAAGAAGTTCCGCGACCCGATCTCCTCCTGGCAGTGGGTGCAGACGAAGTGCTCAGGGTGCCAGGTTTTCCCCATGGCTGTAACTACCTGTTGGGAAGACAAATCATGAAGAACAACTCTACATCCCTCTCCCCTAGACCACATGACAAGCTACCAGCTGGAGATCAGCAAGAATGACAAGTTCTACTACTCAAGTGAGCCCTGGACTGGGGTAGCATGAAAACTGAATTACCTATCATCTCAGGAGAGGGCAGTCCCTCAGGGGCAGGGTAGAGGTCACTGGAGGAGCTTACAGCGTACCTAGCCAGTGGATAAATAGAGTACTTCAGTTTCTCCAGCATCTCCAGTCTCTTCAGCCTCACGAAACAGCCCTCCCATTACTCCCAGCTGCAGCCCAAGGTTCAGCAATGAGACAGCACCTTCCACTCACCTGCCCAGCAATCGGCTTCTTGCAGGCTCCACAGACACCTTTGGCAACTGTAGCTACACCCAGTTTGTTCAGGTCGGACTGGAGACTTCCCAGCATGGTGTCCAGCTGACTGCCAGGCTTGGAGGCTGTGGATGGAGGGGAGCTGCTCCCGGCTTTCCCCTGTGCCATGAACTGCAGGGAAGAGAAAACAAAAGACTGTGAGTTCTGCTGTGCTTTACCAGATAAATGCCTGCTGTTGCTGCCAGTGGCCCCTCTGCAGAGACACACGGGGTTTCCAGGAGTCAGGTCTCTGAAGACAGAGGGCCAGAATAGAGTACACACTTGTATTCTGCCCATGCAGAGACATGCAGAGACCCTGGGATGTGTAACAGCAGAGCTGTGCACGGAGGATTTGATTTTCCTTCACTGCACATACAGCAGAAGTCACCAGCACATCCCAGGCAGTCAGTACAGTGCTCTCTAAGCCTCTGCCAAAAATCTCCCTTTACCTCATCAGTTCCTGGCCAGCTGACAAAGCAGACGCCATCCAGAAGGCCCCTTCCCCTTGACCTCTCTCCATTTCTATGCTGCTGCTGTCAGTTTTGTCTCCTCTCTGATAGAGATGCTCTCCTCTTCCTCATCTCACTCCCCTTTCAGCTAGAAAATCTTCCCCCTTCTCCCCACCTTCTGCATATCTGTTTGTCAAGTCCCCTTGGCCCCTTGGGTTGCTCTCATCCCGTGCCTGAGCCAAGCAAGTGGAAGGAGGAAGGAAACAACTGCCTTGCAGTTGCCTGCTGTTTACCTACAGAGAGGGCAGTGCATCCCCAGCAGACAGGGCTGCCACATCTACTGTCAGACCTGGAAATGCACCAGGTGGAGGGAAGGGGAGTCAGAGGCCTTTTCTGAAACTCACACCACCACAGCACACACAGCTTGGAAAGGCTTCCCAGAGGAGAGGGAGAAATGTTTTACTGAGGCTCACAACTTATAAACAAAGCATATGTTCTCCTTGGCCACCACAGCACCCTTTGCAGACAAACCACTGTAAGGAAAGAGAGATTATTTTAGCTGACTTTGCACTGCCACAGCTACTGTCAGGTTTAGAGACACCCAAAGAAGTCCCTCCCTGAGATGCTGGTCTGGAGCACATCTTCTTTTACTAAAAGAATAAATTAAAACAGACATAAAATCTACACTTGTGTACAACCCACCAGTGTGCTGCCAGCACAGCCAGAGGAGCAGGGACATACCGAAGTGCTCAGAGCTGTAGTGGAATGTGCCCTTCCAGCCACAGGAGGAGCTCTATTCCCTGTCCTGCAGCTGCTTGTCCTTGCAGTCGATTAGTTTACTCAGTGACAAATCCTGCTTTCTGTTCCTTTGTATAAAAATTCTCATGACATACATAAATTCAGCTTTTTTTACACACACATTCACACACTCCTCAGCCTTGCCTCGCCTGCAGCAATGACTCCCAACGGAGCCTGACACACAGCTTTTCCCCTCCTCTCTCCTCTCAGCCGTTCCATAACTTGCAACCTCTCCTAGTCCAGCGGCACAGAGCAGCCCCATCACACCCCAATGTCCTGAGCCTAAAACAAACCTTCCACCACAGAGCAGACAATTGCTACCAAACTGTTACAGTGACAGTCCAAAGCACAGCACTGCAAGGAGACAACAGGCCTTTGGAGACAAAGACCAGCCAGAGCCCCAGGATAAAGCCAGAGCTTCCTGCTGAAGGAAGCTTTCCTTCCACAGCAGAAGGAAAAGGAGGATTGAGAGGATCATACCTCTTCTCACTCTAAACAGGGGTTTGTAGCCACCAGGCAGGGCAGGAGGAACACATGCCACACACAGGTGATAAATTCCATCCAAAGAGAAAGGAGATGAGATGAATTCAACATGTAGCAACAGAGCACTTCACCCTTGACCTCAGGAACCACACGCTCCTGCCAGCCACAGCTGACCCAGTGCAGGCACAACCACCTGAGCACACCTCAATGTCTACCTGGTCTGGTGACCCAGCCTCCTTGACAGCTCACAGAGGAGCCCCCACCTGAAGGAGGTTTGTTTCCACCTCCTGCAGTTTACAGGGGACACTCAGCACAGCATCCACATAAATTCATCATGCAAAGGCCCTTCAAATTCCCACCCTTCACCCATGAGATCTGCCATCACTCAAGTTCAGTGAGGAGCTCTATGAGCAGCAAACCATGCACTACAGGATATTATCCACGTTAATGCACTGGGAGCTCCGGGAGCAGATCCCAGCACACACTGACCAGAAAAGCACACCATGCTGAGGAAACAAAAGGAGGTCCTGCCTTGCCAGGGGTGGGGTGGCCCAGGGGTGCAGGAGCAGCCAGCAGATTGGCACTGGGGACAAGGGGAGGAGCAGAGGTCACCTGGAAAGTACAACAGTTCAAGATGCAGAAGGGTTTCCTTTCCTTGCTCGTTGCTTCAGAAAGCTGCCTGTACACTAACACTGTACTGCTTGTATACATTAAAACTCCCCACCACCACAGAGCCACAGCCCTTCCCTGACAGGAGATGCAGAACACAGATCTTAAGCATGCCATCTCCTCCCCACATCCACTCACACTGTGGACACCTGTCTAAACAGGCAAACACAGGAAGGACTGCTGATCTGCTCCTTCCAGTATGGAGATTTTGCCATCTTTTACTCTCCCCACTTCAAGAGAGATTATGGCAGAGAGAGCTGCAGGTTGTGTTTCAGAGTTACCTTCTTAATCCCAGAGGGAAATGGAGTCCCTGCTGCACAAAGTGACTGTCAGGACAGACATGACCCACACACCCCAGCAGCTTATTGCACAGACATGTACTTTGCAATGCTACAGCTGGGCTTGTCCATAAATCCTCTCTCCTAGCCAGCAGTTCATACCAGCCCTTACCTGAACACTGTATCTACTGAGCTATCAAGTTACAAGCAGTAGTTGGATTGGAAAACAGTGCTAAAAACACAAACCAGGGGAGAGAAGCCTGTCTGCATTTCTGGGAAGAAAGCTTCATCTTCAGTCTGACAGCCAACAGAAACAACTGTCTTGCTGCTTGGGGTCCAGGTCTGGGGAGAACAGGAATGCCTGGGATCCTCAGAAGGAGGGGTGCCCACAACAGAAACCTCATGATAATCATCATCAGAACTTCCCCACTGGAAGAGAGGCTGGGGAGCCAAGCTAAAGGAAGAGGAAGAGACTGGACTAGGAGCCGGGGTGGATGGCACATGGGAAGGCTGAGGTGGAAGTGGGAGGAGAGGTCCAGGGCCAGAGACATGAGAGGGAGCAGCATTAGCAGGGACTGTCTTTGCAGCTTCTTTGGAAGGCTGGAGCTGGGAAGAGGCTGAAACAGAGACTGTCCTCCTTGGGAGGAGTGGGGATTCTGGAGGAAAAACCACCTAGAAAGACACGGAGGAAGAAGAAAGGTGAATAAATCCAAAGAGGAACCAACAAGGAATTGGCTGTTATCAGTATGTTTATCTAAGGGAGAAAAGCAGCAAGAAAAGAAAAGGGGATTAGGAAATGTGGTGTGTAGCTCAAGGAAGAGCATCATCTTACCCCCAAAATGTCCTGCACAGGTACAGCACTGAGCAAAAAAAAACCCCCCCCTCTATGACAGGCTTCCCAGTGTGGATTTAAAAATAATCCCCACAGAGACATTAGGCATGTGATAGCAGCAGGCTGCATAAACAGATACTATCACCAGCTCCCTCAGATCCCACTCTAATTCTTAAACACCCAGAACTAGAACCACATGCTGCTTTCCTTCTCAGGCCAGAGAAGGGTGAACAGAAAGAGTTAGTCCTTCATTTCAAGTGGCTTAGGACACTCAAATTTAATCTGCACCACCACACAGTGCTATCTGGGCAGAGGGACATGCTGGGATTTCCCAGCACACGTCCCCGCTTTCTACCTTCTCTACTTGCTGTCCACCACTCTGCTCTTCCCCCCGGGGTCTGGCAGTGACAATGACCCCCTCTGTCAGCCAGGCATCCTGGCTCTGCCATTCCTCCTGTTCCTGCTCAGCGATGCCCAGTCTGTCCTGCAGCTCTTCAATCAAGCGATCTTGGGACTCAGTCTTGTGGAATATGGCAGGACCTAGCTTACGCCTTGGAGAGAGGTCCCGAGACATTGGATGCACATTCGCAGTCTCTTTCGTCCTCTTGATTAAAGATTTAATCTAAATGACAAAGGTGAAAGTATCAGCAGAGAAGAGCAATGTCACAGCAAGCCCCAAGATGCAACAGCACAAACTCAAAGACATCAGTGACAATTGTGAGCAGGAAGAGTGATGACATTTATTCCACAATGCCAAAATTCCTCTTGGCACAGCCCAGAACAGTGACTCAGTGCAAGGAAAAACCCTGTAAGGATAATCACAGCGGCCAAAAATAACTGTCTAGAAAAGGAAGGGAAAGATTAACCAGAGGGAAGCCAAGATAGGAGGTGCAGCATGACCACTCCACTGAGCATTACAGAAACCTCAGCATCACAAGGGCACAGAGCAGGCTCTTTGTGTTTGCCCTTGACAGGCACAAGGCTCTTGGTGAACAAAGTGTGCTTCCAGCACGGGAAGAAACACCAACAGCTCCAGTAATGGGACCTAAAAAGGCCAGCAGAGGAGCTGCCATCCCAATCAGGAACATCCTCCAGTGCCATGAAACAGCCCTCGCTACTTTTCAGAGGTCTGTAAGGACTGAACCTCACCCCAGCTAGGGAATAAGAGTCCGTTTCATGAGGAAACCCCTACAGACTGCTGTGTTCTGTGCTGCTGAGTGACATGCAGGAGAGAGCACAAGACAAAGCCGAGGGTTCCAAAGCTCCATGCCATGCAGCTGCAATGACCCTGCTCAGAGCTCCGTGCTGTTAGTGTGGGTGAGCCCGGGCACACTCGCTCCACACACACAGTGTTAGTGTGCTGGCAGAACAGTCCTAGCTAGGACTTGTCCTACTCCTACATTCACTCAGTGCCTGCCTGGCCTGATGCAGAAATCCTCTCAATGGGTGGTTTGGAGACACATGGCAGATCCCATTCAGCTTTCCCAAAGTTTTCAGGAGATTCCGGAGCAGCTGCAGAGCTTCTGAACTGCTCTTTGTCCTGGTCTCCTCTGGCTTTGTTCATGTTAGCAGTACCTGCCTTCCTAGGAGTTCTGTCCCTGCCCTGCCTCTTCTTGCCCAGAT